GTAATGATTTCTTTATAATGAAAACTATTGAATAACATCAAAAGAAGTTATCGTTCACCAAAGTATCCTCATTTAATTAATTATAATTTGCATAAACGTTTTAAAACCGATGTATTTAGATTTCCCAAATCTTTAGTTCATATGGCAGTGTACCACTTACATGTCCTATCCGATTTACATATAACCCACGCGTGACAGATAATGACAATATCTGCCCACAGAACCAATTTATATTCTAAATATTTAAAAGTTCGAAATTTGTATTCCAATTAATATTGACGAAAAACTTTTCTAATTAGCTACCTCAATATATTTCTCATTTGGTAAACCCTTAAAAATAAATTGTAGGGGAAACAGGTGTCGGAACAAAAGGGTCTTGCAAATTCTTAGTATTTGTCACTCTGTTTTCAAAGTTATGGGAACTTTATAGTTGGTTTCTATTATGTGAAAACGTCGAACCAAATGGACCAAGATGGATTTGTACATAACAAATCAACACTAAGGTTCACTGTTCAAATGACTGGATCCTGTCTACAGACATAGACAACCCAAACGATATCATCTATTTGGACTTTTCCAAAGTGTTTGACAGAATACCAATGAGATATTGTTACATAAATTAGAATCTAGGCATTCGTGGAAGCTTGAACCGATTGTTTTTTTTTTTATTTCACAGATTTGTGAAGGTCAGAGTGATTGACCATTTTCCATGAAAATACCTGGTTCTAGTGGAATCCCGCAGAGATCAGTATTGAACCAATTACTCTTTCTTATTTCCTTATATGATACCAACATCTAGTCCGTAACAAAACCTCTTTTTATATACGCTAATCCCAATAATGCTTCACTTTGGCAAAAACAACCCTCTTGATTGGAATGGACAATAGTTTGTTACAGCGTCAACTCATAACGACTCAATTAACTCAAAAATGTCGTTGCCAAGTCGTATAAATTCAGTATGAAAAATTTATTGGAAAACGTTAACAATTTATAGTGAGGCTTTGCTTTGGACTTATGAGACCCTCTTATATTGAACAAGGTACCAATGGTCAAGCTAAACAATTTTTTAAGAGTTCCGTCTCCGTGGTGATCTAATTATAAGACAATCGAGTGCGTGGACATGAGTTCAAACTGAAGAAAGGAAATTTTAAATCCACAAGACAGTTTCATCTGACGAACAGGGTTTTCCACCTACAACCAAAGACAAGGTGGAAGTAATGGACGATTTGGAAGAATGTAACAAAACAGATTAGAAAGAAAGAACACAGGATCAAAAGTGTTGGAGGAAAACAGTCTACTAGGCCTGAAGTGCTGATCTGTATATAACAATTTATCATCATCGATTGTTAGTGTGATATTAGTGAACTATTTTAAGAATAGACTGGGTGCATATCTGTCCAATACTAAATTTTAGTAGTGATAGTAACACAATGTGACCACGAACATGTTGGTTTCAAGTGACATCCTCTTTCAGTCGAACGCCGTTTCCCCTACGCATATCCCTAAGTATAGGATCGAAGGCGTAATTAATTCTCATTTTTTTCTCGTCACGCGGGTCTAAATATATTTCCTTTCTTCCACTGAATTACTTAACAATACCTGGCGCCCACACATACCTTCGGAACGTCGCTTGATTCCAATTCGAATTGCATTGTGCTGCACTGCACGTACGGCTATTCTACCTCCTCAAATAGGATGTCAGTTATACCCGCGCAACCCGTAATTGGCTTTTTAGAAAATATATCAGAGGGAATACACATAAAAACTCCTATATTACCAAAGTTTTCCCTGCAATGATTTTAAGTTTGTTTTTTGGACCATGACATTATTAGTGAAGCGCATGTATAATCTTTAGCTAAATATAACGTACCAGTTTAATGATATACAAGGTGTTTCAGTAATAATTACGTACAACCTATGCGGATATTCCTGAAGTCAAAATAGGACAATATTCAACGGTTGTCTCAATGTACAGTGTCAGTGTTTTGTAAAAAGTTTCGAATAGCTTTATTTAATTTGTGGTGTTTTGTGGCCTTTTATTAAAATGACTCATGTATTATTTTTTCGGTGTGAAATTTAAAAAAACGTGGTCGTTGTTTTTCAACTTCAAAACAGGTGTTTCAAAAAACATGGGCCAACGCTCGGGGGCAGTTTTCTAACCTAAAAACAAGATTATTTTTACAAGAAATATATTGAGGTAGCTGCAAGGTGTATAAGTTTTCAAATAAAATATGTTTTTTCCAAAAATCTAGATTTTCACTTGAAGGAATTAAATGAAATTTGGACAACTAACTATTTACAACCGAATACACATTCCTTGGTATTATTATGTTGGACATGAATTACAGGACCGGACTTACTTGCAAGCCCTTGGATATAATGAAAGAAAAAATTGGTTCTCCGTTAAGATTTCTAATTTATAATTACATGGGTTAAATTATAGCTCATTTTGATCAAGAATTAACTCTTACTATTTTTTTCGTTTTCCCTCGAGTTTTCGGTATTTTAAATGTAATATAAACAATTATTTATTTATCTAGAATTAATTATGAATTGTAAACGTACTTACAATAATCAACTCGATAAATATAATATAACATTTTATAGGAAATGTTGAAAGTGTCCCAAAATTTTAATTTCCGAGTTAGAAATCTCAACGGAGAACCAATTTTTTTTCGATTAAATCCAAGGTCTTGGAGTAAGTCCGGTCCTGTAATGCATGTTTAACATAATAATACCTAGGAGTGTGTATTAGGTAGTTGTCCAAATTTCATTTAATTCCCTCAAGTGGAAATCTGGATTTTTGGAAAAAACATTTTTATTTTAAAACTTTGACATCCCCTAGCTAAGAAACGAAGCGAAATCGGATCCATGTTGATATGAAAAAATGATCTTGTTTCTAGGTTAGGAATCTGCCCCCGAACGTTGGCCCATGTTTTCTGAAACACTCTGTATAACTGTTTATTTCCCTAGATCCACGAGGTACTTTTTCAGTTCACATATAAAATAATTTATATTCTATTTTATCTCTCTTAAATACCGTTGAAGTTTATTAAAAATTTGTACACCCATGTAGTTGGTGAGTTGCGAGATAAAGTATATTCACAAAATGGTAAATAAAATTAGCGATTTTTTTAGAAAAATCTGCGTACGTCACTGGATTCGGCGTCCCCTGAAATGAATCTGTACCAAATTTCATGAAAACATATTCAGCATTAACGATTCTATGGCTAAATTGCTGTCAACTTTTTTATTATGCATCAAGAAGCTTAAGTAATTGCAAAGCCTGCTATTAGGAATATTGTTCATCACTATGGAACTGTGTTATTAGAGCATGTTTAAATAAATCAAAGATTGCCACTATTATGAATAACTTTGGGTTAACATTTATCAAATTTTGTTTAGTGACTAAGCAACATTTACACAAATATTCATTCAGTTATATGGAGATTTAGTTGAAAAATTCAGAATTTAAAGTTTATTCATGTGTTAATTTAATTTAATTTTAATTTTATTGTGTTTTGTAAATTTTTCGTTTGTTTTTCTGTTTGTTTCATTGTATTTTGATATAATGATGTCTATTAAATGTTATTAAATATTTGTTGTGACTGATTTGTTATTTTTATTTTATTTATTTTATTTATTTTATTTATCAGTACAATATCCAACGAGCGATAAAGCCCAGTTACAGGATAAGGAGAAGAAGCAAGAAGTCAGTCATCTAAATGATGTAAAACAAAAGAAACAACAAAGAAAAGTGTCAAAGATACATACATAAAAGTTAAAAAACATTAAAAAAGAAAAAATAACAGTCACTAATTAAAAACAGACAATAGACAAAACTAAAGTACAATAAAAGTCACAAAATAAAATCAGTTGCGTACATTATAAACCTGCTTAATACAAGTGATGGTAGAACAGAATAAATCTAACCGTGATTCAACTTCTAGGTAGCTGGCACACATCTGATGAACAGGCGCTGCTTTGTACAAATCTGTTCGACCTTTTTTTAATTCCAAAAGATGCCTGTTTCTAGCATTCACTCGAGGAACATGAAAATCTACTAGCCTCAACAAGTTCTCACATTTTATTAAATTATTGAGCAATTTAAACAAAAATATAACAGAATACTTTTTTTTTTGTTATCGCATGGGTTACTAGATAAAAAACTTCTTAATGCATAATAAACAACTTGACAGCAATTTAACCGTAGAATCGTTAATGTTGAATATTTTTTTATGAAATTTGATAGTCGATTTCAGGGGACGCCGAATCCAGTGGCGTACGTAGATTTTTTTCTAAAAAAATCGCTAATATAGATTCTGGATTTTTCAGCCTCTGAATGTGATCTAGTAGGCCTTAGTTTTAAAAAACCGCCGCTTGGCCCCAAAATACACCTTTCCCCATTCCACGTTTCAAAAAAAATTTCGTCGAAATCGCTCCTTAAATAAAAATGTTATGAGGGTAGCCCGCTTTGAAATGGGTCACTCTGTAAATACATGTGCCCAATTTCAAATTATTTAAAAAAATAATATTTTTAACTTTATAGGAAAGACTCCCCTTAAAATTGAGCAAAGAAAACGAGGTTTCAATTTTGGCCACCATTTGTGAATCACCCTGTATGTTATTATATCGTTTTGTTCGAATATTCAAGGTACATACCCCCAAGGAAGCAACGGGGGAAAAATGCTGGCGTTTCTTGATCAGACTAAAGATTTGGATCCTTCTGCAAGAGAAAGTTGCGACGAGTTTCGTTTATTAAACTACACGCATTTGAAAATCCGCTTCTAACCCCGTCGGTGATGCTGCCGAGTCGGGGAAGTCGAGAGCCACCGGTAGAAAATAGACAAATTTATACCCGAATCTGGGCCCGCAGGTCCCCGTATAGTAATTACCTTTAGGGGTCCCCCGGGGCCGGCAGCGAATTAAGCACCTTTCAAGCCCGATCTATCTGTCCCGCGCCGCAAAGAAAAATTACAAATTCTCTCCTCACACGCTACCTACTTAAAAATCCTCCCTATGCTCCATCTCACCGCCACAGCGGCGAACAGCAGCCGGGCGATGTGGAGGGGCCGGGAGCGGGGCGATGCAAAGCTGTATCCGCCGCCGTACCAGTGCAGCTTCTGGTTGTTGATGACTTGAGGATCGTTGGGGGACCTCAGGGGTACGGTGTGGGTGGTGAATAGGGGCTGCTGGGGCACCCCGGGCATCGCCGATACGCAGCGTATCTCTATACTGTCCCCCCGGGATAGTTTGCGTTCGACCGGGTAGCGCAACGTGATCGAGCGCGATACCAGGCCGACATCGTCGGGCTCCGAGCTCGTCGGCTCGCCAACTGCGTTCAATGGGACCTGGAACAATTGGATTTTTTAGTGGGAGAAATAATTGAGTGGTTTCTCTTATTCCGGCGGCTGTCGCGGGGTTTGATCGGGGGAGGAATATCTATCACTATAAAAAACACGGCCACCGGGGATTACGCCGATTCCTCACAACTGCGAGAATGTCCCCCTCGATGAAATTTTAGTTTCGTGTCTGTTCCTCACTGTACGGAGTGGCCCGATGCGAATCAGAACACCCGTGTTACATTTGTGTTAATGATAATAATAATTAGGCATTTCTTACCCAAATATTCCATTTACAAAACAAAAAAATTACTATAAAAGCGGTTTTAACCCTCAAAGGTCACACTAGTGCGAATTCGCACCTGCCGAGGATTCCCCACCGCGATAATTCCTTCTATAGCCCAAACAGTCGAGTCGTACCACAGCTGGCCTCAGTCTGTTATTGTCGGCCCAACTAAAAAGTCTGAAAAGTTCGTTCGGTGCGAATCCGCACTAGTGTGACTTTAGTGTGGGCAAAAATGTGACGGAATTTATATAATATAATCCAGAAATAAAGTGAATTGAAATGCAAATTTCACTGTTAATAATTTTTCAAACTTTTTTTCATTAATAGTGTAATTGTAACAATGCATTTGTCAATATTTATGGGTAATATTGTTTAAATGAATATTTTTATACAGGTGACAGAAAGTCATAGAATTATGGAAGAAAATACAAACTAATTCTACAAAACTAAGGGTAAGTAAAAAGTATATTTCAAGGAAAATTTCAAAATCACAAAAAAATATACCTTTTAAAAGCGAAGCTGTTTCTCTGGGCAGAATATTTTAAGGGTTTCGGTTAATCACACAATTACACACACTACTTTTAAAATTGTTATACGGAACAACCTCTACAAAGTTTTTGACCCAGTTCTTTAACGTTTTTATACACAAAAAGATAATAATCTAGCACAAGTCAGTTAACCTTTTTGTGGGAAAGAACATCCCTTCCAGGACAAGCATTGCCTGTAAAGAAACATACCTACGCCAAGCAAAGCAAGCGGGCTTTATCATTCAAGTTAATTTGAAAAGTTAAAATGTTTACGTTTATGTTAGTTGCCTCAAATTAAACTGGCTACGAAAGAAATTGGATGGAGGAGGAGCATCGCAGCTTTATTACCGAACCTGAAAAGGCCCTTTAAATTTCGAGGTGTTAACGTTAATGATAGATATAAAAATAAATTATGTATGTATTTATTTGCAAATAAATTACACATTAAGGTGTAATCAAAGGACTTCTATATTGGCTTTCTTTTAAAACTTAGTTTCAGTTAATATTAATGACTTTGAGTTTACTTTGATCATATTAGTTCCTTTTATTACTGGAATGTTTACAAATTAAATCTGATATATACTAGTATTTACATTAATTTTAAGTCCTCGGAAAACTATAACAATAACAGTGTTTCACGTTAACAATATTTTTGACGATAAATATTTACCGTGTATTAGATATTTTTAATTTTGCTTCACTTTTAACTTTGTAAATAGTACAAATTGCGATTTAGAGGAAAATATTCTGTCTGTTTTGGACAGAATGTAAATTTTTTAACTTGAATTCCTTTCAACTTGCCCTTTTGATAAATAGTGAACATTGGCATTAGAATTTTTAGAGTATATTTGTACACCAAATCGCATTTTAATATTGTACAAGAATATTGCTGCAAAATGGCATTTCTAATATTTTTATACGTTTTTCAACAACGTTTGTAAGTATAAAGCACCATTCGAACTCGTAAAATATATGTATGTACCTTTCTTATACGAAAACTACAACGGAGGAAATTGAGAAAATAATAAATTGGTCACATATAAAAGATGAATGGAAACTATTAGTAGGCGAATGGCGTTTGTATGTGTTGGAAACTACATTTTCTGGTTCGAAATTTTCTTGGATGGAAGACTAACCCTCGGAAAGTACATTTTTCTGTGTATAACAAGGATAATCTTATATTTCCATAAACATAGTTTATAAAATACTACGGTTATTTGTTTTACTCGTACTTCATTCTTTAAAAAAACACATATTTACAAAAAGTAAGTTTCAGATTCGTTATTCGTTCCATTTTGTTGGTTCTTTATGTATACAGTGTGTTACAAATTAGTAAATAAAATTGTTAGACACAGATTACTTGAGAGGATATAATGGGAATTTCATTATGCCATTTTTGATAATTCCTTGAGTAATTCCCAAAATTAGGGTAAAGATAATAATATAAAATAAATAAAAAAAATATATGGTAGTGTCAATTTCAATTTTAACCCCATTATTGCTGAAACTTGTACTAAAATGTTAATTTTTTCTTTGTTTGAACTAGATATTATGTTTTGAGAATCTCTGTTAGGCTTACGCTTTAAATTCGATATAAGAACAAATTTAAAATGGGAACAGGTCGAGAAAAGGGGGGCCCGAAGGTGAAAAGTCGAGTTATATTACATTTGCTATTTGCTATGTTGGTAACAAAAAACGGAAAAGAGGCATTCTCTTTCCGTATGTAAGCGCGTTTCTAGAGATATTTTCAGTTTCGTCTGTTATCCTTTTATTTTTATTACGAAACCAACCATTTTGGTGATATTAAAAATGTATTTTTGCTGTACGTAGGTACGTCGACCGAGAACAATATACTTGCGACGCGAATAACGTTTCCTTGAAAAATTTAAGCTTCCACCGAAACAAAAAGGGAAGACGTCCCGTTATCTGTATTAAATTTTCCTCACTGCTGCAAAACACAACGCGCATTATGTTTTCCACGACGGAGTAGAGACGTACTAAAAAAAAAAAACGGTAATAATGAATTGAAGTTATACAATAGCTTAAGATGATTTGGTACTTTATTTATTATACAGGGTGCTTACAAACTTGAAAGTATTTTTGTGTGGATAACCTACAAACTACTAATAAGATCGGAACCGGTATATGTCTGGTGGCTCTGCTGATACTTAACTACTTACTAGATATTACGGGGTAATATCGTAGTCATATTTTACAACTAGATAAATTTCCACCTATCTAATTCCATTGGAATATTTTAGATAAAAATGTTATATTAATTAAAAAAATAAAAGAATTTCTTGTTGTTAAGGTAACTTTATTTAAATCAGTTTACTTTCTCACCATGAAGTTATAATGCTACATTTCTAATTTAATCTACTTGCCACCGTTTAGAGGTACTAATTGTGCGAAATGAAAAACAGTCCACCCTGTATATTCAAATACGAAAAATTATTATAAATCGATCCTTCAAATAACTTTAATAATCAATTTATGTTGCGTCATTAAATATGAACGTAGTTTGTGTTCTTTTGAGTTTTACAATTAGATTTTAATTCCACAGAAATGCATCTGATAGAAAGCCTCGGGTTGTTTGCGGTTAATTTAAATACCATTATAATAGTAATACCATCATGAGAATCGTTATCGAAGTGATTACATTTAAAACAAATGCCTTAAGAAGGAGCGGTTTTTGTTTCTCCCGTTTTAAAAAATAATTAAAATCCCATCTTTTCCAGTTTTCTTTGTTCAAGAAAGAGAACTGAAGCTGTCGAACTAAGTAATAAAAATAATTACTTTTAATTGTGAAAACTGTATTTTTCTTGAGGATTTTGTCATCTGTGGAGATGGTAGATGGTAAAGTATCCAGGGAATAACAGATAAATAACAATAACTATGCGAACTGATCCTTTTAGCAAGAGAGTACGTTTACTTGTTTTTTTCAAAGATGGCGAGACATTAAAATAGAGAGAAAAATGGATATTTATTTACTTAAAGTACGAACGCCAACATGCAGTGTCCAACAACAGGACATGGAAATCTAAAATTAAAAAAAATATAACAAAAAGAAAAATAAACAAATAATTACCAAAAAGAACAAACAAACAAAAAATAAAAACAAAATAAAAATACTCCGCATTTTTTATAGTTAGTCTCAATGAAATTTAGGGGGGTATCCTGGTTCTTCGTAGGTCACGCGCTATATTTGACGTTTCACTGTTTTATAGAGCACCTTCGCATTTTACATAACGAATAACAACATCAATGTGTGCAGAAGTTCCTCAAGTATGGTTTTCTAAATGAAGAATACTCAAAATTTGCGCAGCCTCTATTCCAAACATCGAGAAGGCATCGCCGTATTCATTTTCGATTCTGTTTGTTTCCACACATGTGAACATCATTTGTATTTATGAGTTTAAATATTACATCAACGCAAAAAAATCCCATATTTGTTTAACTTCGGTGCCACTATCATTATTTTATAATGATTTTTACCGGAAATCACCTTTTTAGAGGAAGCACCCCCCCCCCCCACACGTACTATGTAAATTTCGGATTACACCCCAGCTTCCCTAATAGAATTAATTAATTAATAAAGGGTTTCTGTATTTACCGACGAGTTGTGAATATACCAAACTGCCATATCTAAAGCATATATTTATTTTCCGAAGCGGATGCTGCTGTGTGCGTTGATTTTGTAATTAAGATGAAATTAATTATTAAGAGATTAAATCAAACAAGCCACTTCGATATAAAGTACTTGTATTAGATTTCGTTCGAAAGTTGCAAATTTGTTCAGGGCCGGGATGGCTTTTATGAAGTACAAATAGTGACAGTGGCATTTGGTAGAGGAAGTTCCGGGACGGTAACTCTCTTGCGGTTTAAGTGCGCTCCATTGCCACGGCGTAATAGTACCAGGTGTCCCATTTTAAAGGAAACATCTTCGTTGCATAAAAAGAAATTTGAAATTTGTTATATTATTTTTCCCAAAAATTCAGACATCCGAAGGGCAACTTTCATTTTTTAAATGGTAATGTTCCTAGATATATTTCCATTAATTTTTTTAATATCATTTAAAATGAAGACTGACTAAACCACTAATAGTGACGTCACTAGGTGCTGACGTATCAAATTTGAGGCCTTATATAGTTGGTAATGGTTTCGTTGCATTAATTCACAGAAAAAGGAAAATGAAGTACTAAATAAGAGGCAAAAATCAAATGTATTAAGGAAAAAGGCCTTGTCACTTAGACAATTCACATTCTTCTGGGGGGCTGGAATTAGCATCGACAAGGAAAAGTTTTATTACTTTGCGTTTGCCGGGGCATTAGGCTCGTAAACTTAGGGGATCTTGCATGATTCAACAGCTGAACCATCCCTCGTAAAAGTTGGCTTAAAAACAAACTAAATGAAAACTGAACGATGACCAATTTCGCCTTCGATGAACCAATAAAAGTCAATGAATGGGAAATTATAATGTAACGGTGTATTTACTCAGACGTGAATAGATTCGTGTGACAGAATTAGCTCTAAGAACTTTATTTGGTTTCAATATGTAAAGGGGTAGTTCCAATATACAGGGTGTCCCATCGGGAACTGCTTCGATCGATATCTAGGAAAGTACCTATTGCTCCGAAAAAATTGAAAATTTGGCAACATGGCAATGTCCCTCAGGCGAACACAACTAAAATATCTGGAACTCTCCAGCACTTCCGGTTATACCGGAAGTCGGCTACAACTTCGTTATGTTAAATGGAACACCTTATATATTATTGCATTTTCGGGTTCTATGTGATATTTTAGGGTCACTTTCTTAAATATTCCTTATACCTAGGAGTTATAGAGAAAAAAAAAACAATTTTTTACTATGCCTTTGGAGAAAAAAGCCGAGAAATCCTCTGCTTATCCAACGAGTTGGACATGCAACATTCAAATACTGATGAATTAAGGAAAATTTGATGTTAACAGTGACTTTATAAGGGGTGGAAAGGATTATTATTAATAATCCTGCAAACTCTTGAGTGGCTTCAAAAATATCGATATACGAAAACATTTGACAAGATAAAAGCTGCTGATGTTACTGTCGATTTATACACATTTCAGAATTTTAAAATTAGAATTCCGCACAATTTTGTATACTCCACAACGGAAATTGTTTATGTAGTCAGCTGAGGACAAATTCAATTTAGCTTCGAAGATGCTTAATATCTCCTCTTCCACTTAATATTTCATTATTAGAATTTTGATTTTAATAAAAATTCAGTTAATGGAAATAGAACAAAGTGGACGAAGATGAAATTAAGAACATATTTAATGGATACTAATTTCGTTCATGCTTGGAGAATAATGTTTTTATACTGTCTTCTTCAAGTTAAATTTGGCTCGCTTTTATGAGTTCATTGGGAGTTTTTTTGCATCGACGGGGTACTATAATCAAGGTAAAAAGATTTCTACCCGCCTACTGTCGTCTGCGTAAAAACTCAGAGAAATTAAATTGGATTTCGACTAAATTAAATGTATATTGTAATTTTTTAAGTTCACAGGTCACTGCTTTGGATAAGAGTATCTGTGTCACAAATTAATATTCGCCTCATTAAAATTCTCCGTTACAACTATTACAATCGAAACTTTTTCTGTTGATATATTTCTTCAACATATATCATTGAGCCTCTTTAAATTCTCATAAAACAGAAACGCAAAACTGAAGGAATCAAATTCATGAAATTGTATTTAAACAATTACAATACAATTCATACAATTCAACGCTGCCAAGAAAAACCTGATACATTTTCAGTTGCCACATTTTAAATATTTGCTAAAAAGTATTAAACATATTCTGACTACAACAATTTTTATGTAATTGCAGTTGTTTCAGTATCTAGGATGCGATTTGAAAGGATGAGGGTTATTTTTAATTACCCACTTGGTGTTTTACGCTTCTTGGAAAATATATAAACAAAGCAAATTTCTTGGAGCTTTATTGTTGCTGTTACAATAGTAAAATTGCTGCCCTTCTCCCTTAATTACTTTCTAATTACAGTGGTATGGAGAACGGCCTTTTAATCAAGGATACTTTTAGGCAATTATCCTCCATTGCTTCCGCGAAAGACCTAGGTAAAAACCAAACATTGTCGGACGAGAGCCTTCCATTCTTATATCCTTTAAAATTTATGTTGGGATGAAAAGAATCAAATAAGCGAAAATAGCTTAAAGAGCGATGTGAAATATGCTAATGCACTCGGGAATTCACGGATTCTCCGGCAACTCTTCACATTTTTTATATTTCATATTTCTATACCGCGGAAAAATAACATTTACACAAAGGAGAGCCGTTCCCAAACAATATTTTATAACGAGCGGAAACATCATTGTTCGAATATTTCAATTAATGATCAAGTCCGGACGAATTTGCTTGAGCCACTTTTAAGGGGCATAATTTATATAAGTCGGAAATTTACACATTCTTCAAAACAAAAATTTTTCTTTGTATAAAACTGCAGTTTATACAGGGCGGAACTGGAGGAAAACTGTTTTCGATATACAGGGTGTTACCTGCCTGTCGTTATCCTGTTGGTTTTATTGTTTCCCGAACAGTACACTCTTCCCAAATTGTCAGTAGTAGTAGTTTAGTCATCAGTTGACAGACTAGCATTTAGATGTTTTTTATAATTATTATAAGTAAATTTTAGAAGCAAAATGAATTTCAGCTGAGCACATCCTTTAGACGTAAATAGTGTGCATAATGCATTTAAATCTGGACTCTTTAGTTTGTATGTATGTGTAGCAAGCAGTAGATATGTCTTTCAAAGTTTAATAACATAAGTATTTAAAATAAAAAGCATTAATCAAAAAGATGTCCCCACTGCATCTGTAGGTAAATAAATTTCCTACATTTCCATTCAGAATTGTGTAACAAAAATTTTAATACTTCCCAAATGCGTTAATATGTGTGACATTGAGTGGAATACTGTATGTAGTACACATACATTATACATGAGTTATAAAACTGAATTGAAATTCTATATTTGTAGCACTGCATATAGAGCCGACTTCGTTATAGATATTAAATAACTAATATCCCCATAAGGAAACGGAACAGGGTTTCTACACTTCCTACTACTAAATTCAACATTCTAAATAAAAATTTGTAATACTTTCTTTTTTCTTAGGATCTAGCAGTTAAAACACTTTACAAATTGACAAAGAGAGCGAAACTGAAAAGTTACTTGTCCAGTATGACACTGCGAGTGATTCTGTTTAAAATACGATACAAAATAATTTTATTTCCAGCTATTAACCCAGCCTAAACCAGGATGTATAACAAAGAAAATGAGCCTCATTGTGTTATAGTCTTTCCGAAGTCAGTTGAACATGTATAAAAACTCCTAGCAATAAAATTTTGAGTTTCATAGGCGCCCCTAAACAAGTTTTCTGCTAAAGGTAAAAAATTATAATAATTTTTTACAATTTGTAGTAAATTTCCATTATAAGTTCAACAGCAACAACATATTTTAATTATTTATGTTCTCAAACAATTTTATTATATTGATGGTAAATTTCGTTTTGTTCCGTTTCAAAAGGTCCCCAAAATGCCATGTTGTAATATGAATGACTAATAGAAGGTGCCTGTAATAAATTAAAATTCCTTGAATCACACCAAATTCTGCATTGCTGCACTGCACTGCTAGGCCATTTGTTGAAAACTGAATTTATGGCCAGGTCGCCCTGTGCGGCTGTTCTTCATCTGGGCGACCAGACCTGTGTATGGGTATGGCTAAATAAATAAAGGAACAAATTTTTAAAATATTCCAATGCCGAGTTGCTGCGTCAGCGACCGAACCTGGTACATACTGCCAACCTCTTGGTTCTGCAATTGAGATCGGAAAGACTATAATTTTAGTAGTGAAATTCAACATCACAGCACAACAATCGTGATTGAAATTTGGTTTCAATAACGAAAAATCACCTTATAAAATACATAAAATCTGCAACTGTTAGACGCATGTTTCTGTACCAGCTTGTTTTCATATCAATGCATTGTAAAATGGAAAAAATGTATTTTGTCGCTTATAATGAGTAGACGAAACACGTAATTGTCATTTTTTAAAAGTTCGTTCAATGCCTTTGCGGAATAGAGTAGTGAATAACACTTCACGATGCTGTAGCCTTACATGATTCTAAAAGGTCAAATAAAGCTTTGGCTTTTGACGGCTAAGCCATTTAGAATATTGTTGCGTCGAACGCTTTGTTCTAAGAAATTGTTTTAGAAAACAATACACTTAAATGAAAAAAGTTACACTTAGAATACGCCATTGTACGTAAATTTTTTATTGAATCCGGCAAGATATTCCGCAACATTCTCTTTTTAAAAGGTCACAAGAGTTTCGCAAAAGGTTAAAAAAGTTTTTCCCTTAAAAATGTATCAGGGAAAGGAAAAAATCCGGTGGTGTTCCTAAGTTAAAAAAAACCGCTTAATATTTATGTATGGGTCATTTCTACAACAGCAAATTCTTGTCAAAAAAGTGGTAGGTGTTTTCTAGTATTTCCTGGTTGACATATTTGAGTACATACACAATTTAACCAAATTAAAAAATAATAAATTTGATATATCTTTTTATATTCAACAGCTAGTGTCTCGAAAACGAAGCGTTCTTGTTATAGAAACTTTTGAATTGATTTATGACTATTAAAGTTGAAATGAAAAAATTCACCTACGAAATTAATTCATATTTCGAAGATTGTACACAATTTTATAATGTTAGAGGATTTTCGCGAGGCCGAGAAAGTTTCTGTAATATCATTTTGATTTGTGGAACGGGTGAGGTTGTAAGGGCCCTCGTAGAAACAGACAATTCAGTAAAAAAAAAGCGAAGATTGTGAGGTACTTACCGACTCTCCGTTGATATACCAGGACAGGATTGGCGCGGGGTTCCCTAGGTCAGAGATACATTTAGCCACCACAGTATCGCCTTCCATGTAAGACGTTGTTAAGCCCTCAATCCTGGGATTTTCTTTTGGTAGAGCTATAAAAGAGGAATCGGAAACTGTAACTACCATCGGAAAAGTGGAAACGCAATCACATTGGTAATATAATCCGGACGCAAAATCCGCCCTCTACCACGAAATCCTCCTTTGAAAATGCTTTAAAATTGTAGACTTTGTGTTATCTGTCCCTTTGCAGTTTCAAAGTTCAGATAGAGCATCGGCTGTAAAATTGTCTGCGGGGCGGTATTAGGCCGTAAATTATTTTTGCCGGAGAAATGGTTGACGGGCAACATGGAATCTATATTAAAGTTTACCGAGAAAATTTTACGAACACAGACTTAATCATATAATCCTAATTAGAGTAGTAAAACTTCGGGGTTTAAAAAACCTCATATCGCGCACTTAAAAACATACAGAGCGTCTGCCGTAAATCTTCACACGGTATTTGAAGCTAAAATATTATTACATAAAACTTAGGCCCTCTGTAAAATTCATTTCGAGCTTCCACAACTTTCAGTTGAATTTAATCTATTTTTGTCTATGAAAATATCAAAAAAATCATCGCCACAGAAATTTTACAACATGCACAACCCCCAAAAACTCGTTAATAATTTTCCAGCAGCTATTTTTTTAATTGCAAAATATAAAACTCACATCTGTAGGCAAATATTTATTTTTATCGATATAAGACACATTTATTTCTACAGATTTCGTTCCGGTACAGTGGCTACAGTATCGCTGAAAGCAGAACATCTAAATAGACTTGTAACATGAAAACCAACTGCTTGGAAAACTGACCGAACATCAACTTGGGCCTGATGTATTTGGGTGCATATATATGTCTGGTTTATAGGCATTACCCAGAACTTAACGTCAACTAGTTACCAAATTTAATTCTGCATTACATTGGACGAACCGTTATATTTAGTTTCATCCGGCGGAAATGCATAATTAAAATTTGTTCCGTATCGATATTAAGTTGTATCGGGAATTTAATACATGTTCCCAAACTTGGGCCGTTTGATCGACACGGCAGTGGATGTGTATTCAGGGAGTAATCATTACTTGTGAACTGCCCAGTGGACGTAATCGACCTAGAAGCGCTTTTAGTTGATCGACGATTTAAAAAATACATTAAATGATGAAGATATGGGAAAGTAGAAGTAATGAAAATTACCCCTCTTTCTAATGATAAGTCATTTTCTTGTTCTAATTGAGTTATCTAAATATCGACCTTGAGAAGATTTTGTGAATACGTACACTAAATTCTGATCATACATTATATTCTTTAATTCGAGTGTCAAATTTCTCAAAGATGTTAGTTAATCAAAGTTATTAAGTCAACAAGTTATAACCTAAAATATAGTAACACAGTAATAGGAGCTGCAGTAGTATGTGTGTGTATTGTAGAATAATCCAAGAGGCTGCAAGTAAACATCTGCAAGGTCTACTATCTAATTAAGAAAGACAAAAGAACAAAAGTAAAATATAAATATGTACAGGGTGTGGCGTCTTTAGTGCAGAAAAAATAAAATGCAGGTTCCTAAGAATATATGCAATACAAAAAACCTTATATAAGAAATTCATATATCCACGTTTTGTCAAGAAAATTGAACTTCAAAATCAGTGTGGCCAAATTAAAATGTATGAAATACACACAAAAGACAAAATGTTTTAATGCCATAATAAATCATTTTGGCCAGTTTAATACAATCCTCTCGTTTTAATTAAAAGGAAAAATAAACATAAAATTCAATTAGTTATTTCACTGTAAATGGTAATGTGCAATCCCAGACAAGAGGTTTGTAGAAACAAAGTACATGGTGTTACAGAAAAGACTACCTACTATTATTTTAGCAAGTGATAGGTTGGATCACGACAAACAAAAAAGATGCAAACTTACCGCCATCGTTCGATAGTAGTAAACGTATTATTGTTGTCCTCGTTATCCATTGACGATTTAGTTAAAACAATAACTTAAAAAATAAAAAATAAGAAACGTCTTTAATAAACACTTAACGTCTAAACAGCAGAAGCGCGATCTTTTTGACACAACTTAGCAGCAATTCGCCTGCAAGACAAAAGCGTACTGACTGACACTGGCTGACACTTCACAGGTGCCGTACGAAGTGCGGACTAGGTCAATGTTTTTTGCGCTATGTTAAACAGGACCGGCATTAACATTTTCTCACTTGTAATTTTTTGGAAAATATTTTTGATATTCAAATCTCATAATCGCCTTATAGTAGCATATATTATTTTACTTAATTTATTGTCAACAGTCTAGGTTTTTAATTTTCTGCATTAAAGACGCCACACCCTGTATACTGCTCAATTTGGCAACATTGGGGCTTTACTTTTACATTTTCATCCAATTGTCACAAAAAACGCACTAAACGAATGCTCCGCAAAGAGACAAATATTTAATTGTCCGGTTCAATAAAACATTCAATATATCAGAACCAGATAAGGACTGTGAGCGTACAGAACTTTTTGTTTAAATTTTCCATTTCTATAAAACCATATTGCGGATTACTACAAGCGTGCAGGGTTCGAATTTTTGCAGCCCTGACAATAGAATATCTCTATAACGTTATATATGAAAGGTTTTACTTAGGTAGGACCGTATCGACAGACCTTTTCTCTGCGAAACATGTGATGGAGCTCCATAAAAAAAAACTACTAGATTCATCGGGGCAGTCTCGATGATGAGGATTAAAGGGACATTTGGTACGCTTTCATTAAAAAAAAAGAGCGATAGATTTCCTCCATTCTCAAGAATAATGTGCTTTGAAAGACAAATATCGGTATTATCATTCAGTATTCTACAAGTTAGTATCAAGTATAATGCTCTACAAGAAACTGCAAAATAATTATTCTAATACTTTGAATTTGGAATAGTTGTATTTTTTATATTTTGATCATTGTAATAATGGCAAATTATAGAATTATAATAATAAATATAACTGTTTTTATATTTAATTTCCAAAGTACTTAACTATTGAAGAAATCTTATTTCAGATACAATCCGCATTCTTGACAATATCGACCGACTAATTCTGCACAACGGAGTCGAGTCGATAGTGAAAAATAAACTTCCAGGTTCCCGATCTCCCAGGTTACATTTAATTTTACTTGTTCGGTTTCGCGTTCTATACGCAATGTTTATATTACGCCTATACGAACTAAATATTGTTACACATTTACATACTAAATTCCTTCCGCGGGGGGCGACTTACGGATTAATGTGGCGCTTGATTAAGCTGCACGGCATAGATATGCGCCTGGCAGATTGTATTTGATGAACCGCCGTATAAGCCCATTATTCTAGGTGGAGTGCAAATGTGAGCATACGGGGGGTAAGACGTTATCTTGTTGGGATGCGGCAAAATTCGGTGATTAAAGATGAACTCTTGCGATGTTTCATTAATATCGAATGTGGTTTGGGATGGTTAAAATACAGAGTGAGCCCGTAGTAGGCGTTACAAAGAAATGAGACTTTAATTGTAGGTACCCCATACAGATAATGAGCTCTTTGGTTCTAGCTATATCCTGTCCAAGTTTTGACCAAAGAACGCCCTGTAGAAATTTGTCAGCCAAATTATGACGCACGGTGTATAGTCTCCAACCAGTAAAAGTTAAATAACTTCTGTCTTGCCGCATCCACTTCTCTGCGGACAAATTTCGAATTCACTCCTCGACCGAGAGTACAAAAATAATCAGGGAATAGAAAGTCCTAAGGGACATTTTTTCATAAGTGGTCCTGTTCTAGTGAGACGTAATCTATCAAGAAAATTCGTAACGCAGCGTTTGCCGAGCGGACAACTCTATCTGAAAAAGGACGCTGTTTTTATTTAACCACCATTTTCTGTGTAGTAGTTTCACACATATATTGATTTATACCGCGGTCTTGAAATAAGATTTAGAGAGGACAAAAGTGAACGAATTTATGGTATAAAATACATTTTAACACAACTGCGGTCAAAGTTCACATTTGGTTTACAATGTCCTGAGATTAATAAAAATGTTTTATTGATTTATATGTGTTGGGAAAATTTATTTTGATATCTTAACTCCAAGGGACGTTTCTCCATATTTTCACCCACTTCGACCGGTTTGACTATAGAATAATTATACAGGGTAGTCCATAAATACTTCCGACAGTAACTCACTTTTAAATTACACAAACAAATATATCGAAAAATCTATTCGTTTCTCAAATGTATGGGACATTCCATGTCGACCGAATCAGTGCTGTAGGAAAGAGTAACATAATGTACAACCTAAGGCTCATTTTCAAGCTTAAAGAATTTGTATTATTGAAAGCTGTATGCGTTTTCGGAAAATTCAAAATGGCGCCTTCAATATGGCGCCTGAAAACCCTACAAATGAGAACTTTGGATCAAAAATTTTATTGTGTATAGAATTACATCAAGTCGAAAATAAGTACACAATTGTAGTAAGGGTTGGTGAACACAATTTTGCCATGGAGAGACATACCAAATTTCAAAATGGCCAATCCAAGATGGCGGATTTGTGGCGAAATTTCAATCTAAATACTTACCTAGAATCTTCGACAATCGGTTTGAAAATCTATTACTTAGTGTTTTCTAGGTTATAAAACTGATACGAACGATTGAAACTTACAAAATGGCGGATCCGATATGGCGGACTAATGGTGAAAATTGAAATATTGTGCCTTTAGTTGCCGTAAATCGATTTGAAATTAATGTAACTCCAGTTATTCGGAGTTCGCGATGACACAGCAGTTACTTGAAATCACAAATCACAAAATGGCGGATCCAAGGTGGCTGACTTATGGCTACAATTCTCATCAAGATCCTCCAATTCGTAGGATCACATGGAAAATTGGGATAGCAATTTCTACGTGCCCAAAAAACCGCAGACAGGCTAACTAAGTAAATCTAAGAGATTTCAGGATAACCGTTGACTTGTAGTGAAATTTTTCCAAAGCACGCCCCTGAAGTTCCCTGAAAATTATTGGCTGAAATTATTTTTCTTAGAAAAATTCTGAAAA